TAACTAAATTGGAAGCCTGTTCCACGAGGACTAGCTCACAGAGTACTGGAGATGCAATGCAGACTGCAAAGGGGAAAAAAAAACAAAAAACAAACAAACAAACAAAAAAAACCGACCAAATAGTCTTATCTAGCTGTGATGCCTACAAAACACAAAAATTACCATCGTGGGAAGATATCCCCAAAGATGTATTAGTGACACTTATAAACTGAGGGTAACCAGCAGGCATCTACTTGGACTTACAACTTAGTGGCTAGTGAGATCGTGGATCTTAGAAAAGAACTGACTGCTGTTACTTTCTCAAACCAGTATATTTTCTAACTACATTCTTAATACTTATCATTACACCTATAGATAAGTGTAGTTCTCATTCCTTATCAATGAAACTTCTTTTGGCAGCAGAAAGAGACCATTACAGAAAGCCACACTAGTCAAAATACAGAGAACAAACAGTGGAGTTCCCAGCCCCACTTGATATATTTGTAACAAAACACATACATATATGGTTCAGGGAACATAATAGAAAAGGGACTAAAAAGACTTTATTAAGAGCCAGAGGAACAGAAAGTCTGCTGTGAGACTATGTCTTCTTTATAAGACAGGGAAACTGTACTAATGAAATGAAACAATATAGTAGCATAAAGAAGAACTGGATGATGACAATAACCACTGGCATGGCAACATGGCTGGGGGAAATATTGCAGGGCCCTACCCATAGATAAAAACCAATTAACAAATGCTGAGATAGAATCAGTCTTGCCTAGGGATTTGCCCTTAACTGGTTATCTGAGATGTCTGGGTGGGGTAGGGACTGGGCATCAAGTTCTGTGCTGATCATTTTAGGTTAAGTAGCTTCTCATCTGTTTATTCAAATATACTATATAAAAATTACCACACTATACAGCATGTTATCATTTACCTACATGTGCCAAGACATGTTATCGTTTACCTACATGTCTTGGCACATGTAGGTAAATGTTGAATAACTGGGTGAAAATAACCATGAAAAAGAGAAAATCTAATACTTTTGAAAGCTCAGAGTTTTTTGCTGCTGCTGCTTGTTTGGTTTTGCTTTTAATTTATGTCTCACTACATAGCCCATACAGGCCTCAAATTTATGATCCTCAAATTTCAGATTCTGAGTGATGAGGTTACAGGTACAGGTTACAACTAACACATGCAGCTTAAAACCAAGGTTTAATCATAAAAGATAGAAATGACTTGAAACTATAGTATGATAAACCTTATTAGAGTAAAGGGGAAGAATTTTCTTATGGTGAAGCATCTGACCAAGGAGAGACAAGCAAGGTTTTCTGGAGGCATTTGAGAAAGGAACTGACTTCATATTTATATTATGCCTGAGATAATTTCCCCCAAGGGATAGGAACAACATCATTTTGAAGCATCTTTAGCTCTACTTGTTTAGTCCTTAATTTCTCCTATTGTAAAATTAGTACCATGGTTACAAATGGCAATGTCACACATGATTAGTCATAACGATCCTAAGCTAAACTGAGTTTTTATCCCCTTGGCTAAATTTAGAAATATGTGGAGTGTGATAGATTGTCATATTAACACATTCACACTTGAATAAGATGTGCTTCCTTGAATGCTAAGGAGGAAGAGGAAGAAGTACAGAGGAGAGCTGTCTCATTACCATATATTTCTCCAGTGAAAATATGTCTACATAGTACAAAACCACAGAGATAAAAGCCACAGATCACTTAAGGAGCAAGCTCCCACCCACTTATTTTAGAGATGGGAAACAAGGTCAAGGGTAAAAAGACTGTGTTGAGGTTTCTTAGCTAGTCTTCAAAATATGACTTGATCCTGGGACTCTCAATTCTATCACTGGTATTCTTTCTGAAAACATTTTGGTGCTTGAGGATTTTGGTTTGTAGGTAATACAGTCTATAGCTAGGATACTGTTCATGGCCCACCTAATGATATCTATTGATAGCTTTGATATCTATTACTGTAAAGTAGAACAAAGAGATAGTTTCTAATGTCTGCAACAAAAGCTCTGACTAGGTTGGCTGCACTAAACAAATCCTCAAAGCAGAGTGATAGCACTTTTCTTTCTGAAAATATTAACATATCCAATGTTGTGTCTTGTGTTTTGAGGCCATGATGTTTGAGAGTTGAGGAAAATAGAGAGTACTTCTAAGACTAAAAGGACTTCCATGGGGTTTGAACCTGGAAATACTAAAAAAAAAAATTCTAATTAGAAATTATTTGCTGATACAGAAAATAACAATAATCTTTCCCTTCTTTGAAGATAATGAAAGTATTACATACAAACAAACAATTATATAAATACTTTTTTATTTTCCAATAGTTTTTAAAAATCCACTATGTGTCAGACACTGGATTATGGATTTTATATAAGTGATTAACAAATGAGATCTTCTTACACTTGAAATTCACATTCTGATAAGACAGACAAGCTATAAGTAAATGAATACAGAAATGTACAATGTATCCAATAGTCAAAAGTATACTGGAGAAACGTTAAATAGGAAAAGGAAGAAGAAATGCGAGTTTGAAATTTTGAATAGATTATTTGAGTAAAAACTTGAAGCACCTAATTGGAGGAAGATTTCTCTAGGCAGAAAAAAAAATAGTTTTAAGGTCTCTGTTTGTGAGCATGTCTGGCATTCTAGGTGACTAGAATGGGTAGGTTAGTAAGAACAGAGTAAAGCAGCAAGATATGAAGTCAACATTGTGGGGGAAGGTGGCCCTAAATGTTCTTGCAAGTAATGACAGTTTTCATTTTTACTGGAAGATAAATTATGAGCACTGGAAGATTTTGAGCAAAGAGGAAAAACTGACCTTAGGTCATGATAGCCCTGCCCTGGTTATCAAGTGGTGAACAGATGCTACTTAGTTTATTACAGATACAATAACATCTGTAATTATCATCTAGCTCTCATTTTGAAGTACTACTTTTCAAACTTTTACATTTGTAAATGAAATGGGTGAATTACTAGAATGCACAACCTTATTCAGTAAGTCTGAGATAGAGCCAAAGATTTTACCTGTCTAACAAGGTCTCAGTTGATGTAAATAGTGCTGGCTACCGTAGAAATCTAAAATATCTGGAGCATATTTAATTATAGCATTACAGTAATGTTCTGGGGATACAGTCAGTGGTAGTAGATGTGCCTAACATCTACAAGGGCCCACGTTCAAACCCCAATACAATTCATATGTAAACAACAACAGGACGTTGACTTAGTTCCCTCAACAACTTTCAGACACAGCTATATAATGAAGCCCAAAAGACAAATGAGAAAATTGAGCTCAGAGTATGTGTATGCTTGATGTGGGATGACCTTTAAGGCTACAGGGTTAATTTTGACTAAGTTGAGATATAACAGCCAGAAGAGTATGTTTCTAGAGCTGGTGTTCTTTCCACCCCATCTTCCTGTTTCATGACATAAAGAGAATGATTTATAATGTACTTAACTGAGAAAATAAAATGAGTTGAAGTGAAAGTTAATACCCATAATCATCTTTCCATAGGTGTAGTGTCCAATGTGATTTCAAATAGTAGTGTGGTCTTATTTAAAATTAAATTAATTCTATTTAAATAAAAAATTAAATTTTCCTTCTTAATAACACCAGCCATGTTTCAAATGTTTGGCTGGCTAATGGATGTATACTGGAGAGAGGAGATAACACATTTAAATCACTGAAGAAAATTCTTTGGATAGCTCTGCTCTAGGGAAACAAGGACTTTGAAAATATTACAACTATACTTTCAACCACAAAGTAGGCCCTAGAGTATGAAAAGAAATTAGCGTCTGATTTCTCCTAAGAGGAAAAGAAACAAGACGTGTTAGTCAAGTTTTCCCAAGCTCAAAAGAAAGCCAGTGTGTGTGTGTGTGTGTGTGTGTGTGTGTGTGTGTGTGTGTGTGTG